TTCACATCAGCATATTTTAACTGATAAGGAAAAATTCCACTTTCAAAAGACTGGTTTATTATCTGACTTAAAGGTCCAGAAACAATGTTGGCAGTTTGCTTTATCAGTTTAACAGGAATTTCGTCCCAACCAGCTGACATTTTGTTTTTAAGAGTAAAAATTACTTTTGCAACATTCTCTCTGGAAACAGGCTGAAAGTTGAAATGAGGTATGTAATGATTATTGAGATTAGTATCGCTAAGAAATTTGTGGGCATCTAATTCATTGAAGAGAGCAGAGTTAAATTTCGCAATGTTGACAAATTTATTATTAAAGTGTTCAGCTATTTCTGTGCCATTACCAATTATGCAATTATTGTCTTCAATATTACTGAAACTAGATTTCTTTTTAAGGACACCTAGCCCATAACAACTGCCCATACAGCTTTACTTTTATCTACAGAGTTCTTACTTACCTCCATTCATACTTGGCTTAATATACCTACCTTTGTATGGGCGCCATTTCAATTAAAAGTATTTAAAATAAAGTATTAAGATAATTAAATTTATAAATCTCTTAACAATACAAATAATTAATTTTGCAATAATGTCAATAAAGAAGCCCAATCACAGGATTATTATTCAAATTCAGCCTGAATCCTGGAGCAGGATCATGCAGGATGTCAAGAGTAGTATACTTTGTTATTTTCCATCTTACATAATACTATTTTTCAATCCACTTTAGAAGATTTCAGATTATTGATGACAGTTTAAACTGAACCTTGATGATATACCTATATTAGTTTATAATGTTATGAATGTAATATATTAAACACAGATATAAATGAGTTGAAGATGGGCAACTCGTACAAATTGCACAGTCAGCCACTCTTATTCCCTACACTTTTCCCGTACCAGGGATATCCCTATTGAGCCAAGTGCCTCCCACTTAATAATACATATTATGTCAACCTTATTTTTTTGCTGTCTCCAGTCTGATTTTCTTCCACCTTTCTACCCCCTCCCTCTTATTTTACTGTCTGTGTCAGACCAACTTAAGGTATTGTATGGAATGGGCTGAGGATAGAATGGCTTTGGGATATTGTATTTCTCTGGTATCTCTAACAGCTCGTGACATCTAAGCTGGTACTTGGCCTAGCGCAGGCAGTGTAGGTAGGAGGAGGGTGGAGGTAGGGAAAAGACCGGACTGCAAACATTTCCGCTGCCTCACAGGGTTGACTCCCCTTGTATTATGTACTTGAGCAACTTCATATAATTTTTTTTAAACTAGACACTAGTAGCGATCGGCCAAGTGCCAGCTTAGATGTCACGAGCTGTACCTATTGAACGCCAGGTACCCTCCAGCAGTAAGTAGCCTTGCCCCGACTTGTGGAGGTCTAAGTTGTGCCAAAAGAACTTGACAAAATTGATTTGTTTCTAACCAAGAGCTATACCAGTCTGGTATAGTTATTTTATTGTTCTGAGTTTTAGTACTATATACCTTGCTCTGATATTGTTTTTTTTTCCGACCAGCATATTGTGCTACAGTTATTTTTCTAAATAGCAGAACCCATTTTTTCACTCCTCCTACTTCCCTCTCCACCATTTCAATTTACAACATATTTTGAGCAATTTATAAATAAGTTTAAAGAAACATTTAATCGGGCAAATTAAGGGTAATTTTTGACGATTTAATGACAGTCTTGGCTCAACTTTGTGTAATATCATAAAAAGTAAATTTCAGTATTTTACAAACTTAATTCAGTAATTAACCCATTGGAGACTTCGGCTGAATAGGCCCAAAAACCTTATCACGGAACCATTCCGTGATGACTATAGCGTCTCATTTTCCTGGTCAGAAACCGATGAGAACCTCTTTAGCGAAGGAGTGGGGGGCGTGACGTCACTCTTCCCTTGAGGGAACACCATTACCGCAACAATACGAAGTGAAGTCATTGGTGTTCGTGGCGTAGTGGTTACCATACTTGACTGATGTCCATGAGGTATCCAGATCGAATCCCACCAGTGACATTAACTTTTTGTCTAAGATTTCTCTTAGAATGTGGTTACGTCTTAACCAACTCAGCCAATAAAAAATTCAACAACTAACAGACAAAATCTCTGACAGCTGATAAAATATTGCTAGCATAACCTTTCCACTACCAAGATAATAGAAGAGGAATAATTCTTTGAAGGGTAACTAACCTTCACAACAAGTCATGCAATTTAAATACTTTTGACGGGAAAAAAGAAGAAAAGTGCTGAGAATAAAACAAAAAGATTTAATTGCAACAAATAGTTTTCAACATCTGATCAAACCAATAACACGACCATTATCACAACTGTATTAATTTGTTTACACTCAAGTTCAAATAAATGGCAATTATTCATTACAATGGGACAAAGTAAGCACAACACTTTGGATACAAAGTTGGATTATATGATAGGATTTAACAAACTATTAGTATGAAAAAGCCACTGGCATTCATTTCACCAAGGTGCAAACAACAAATTAATCTAGAATAGTGCAAATGCGCATATAATCTAGATTGACCCAGTTTGGGAAAAAAACTTCAACAGTCCTGTAATTAAAAAAGAGGATGGAGAGAAATTAAATGAATGGTAATACAGTAGAACGTCGATTATCCGAAGCCCGGTCATCCGAAACGTCGGTTAACCGAAAGGAAGAAAGAAGCAAAAATCAATAAAATCGCGCGCCAATCACGACTGGCCGTAGCGCTACGCCGCCGCACGGCTGCTAAGTGGTGAAAGTCTAAATATAGCTCAAAGGTCTGACCCTCCCCCTTCCCCCAAACCCCTACTTCATTCAGTGTTATGCCCGCTCACTTCGAGGTCATTGCACAACCCCTCCCTCCCTTCTATTGTTTTTCATTGCCAGTCACTAGTCAGTCGCCGGCGACTGCTTTGAGTTGACCTATTCTGTTATAGCAGCTAAAAAATAGGTTAGGACAACTACCTCTTGCTTATTTCTACAATGTAAAAATAATTGTATTACTGTAGAATCTACAGTAGTAAATATTATCCAGCATTTCACGTAAACACAAGTTACATTTTAACAAATATTGATTTTTTTACCAATTTTAACCAAACTCGACTCGAAACTGCCGAGTTAAAAAATAAGCTTGAGTTTCAAAGGCCGTACTCGACTCGAATTTGAAATCTCAAGTACTTGCACATCTCTATAATTAATCAAATTTATATTATTGTACAGTATCCACAGACGCGAAATCGGCAAATCGCCGCCGGCCGCTATCCCTTCCTGTCATTTCCCGTTCCCCGTATTTTTCCTGTCAATGACCGATTATCCGAAAAATCAGTTATCCGAACAACCCCAATCCCCAATTAATTCGGATAATCGACGTTCTACTGTATTATTGAAAGTACTGAAATGAGAGGTGTTCTTAATAGTCCAAAAATAACCTATTGAGTTATTTTCTGTCCAAAGATCCTGGTTTCCAATTGTAACAGTAAAGAAACAGGTCAAAAATATGGGAAAAATAAATATTTTAGTGTTATACTTTAGAAACAACTATATCTGGGTTTCATTGTGTCCAAAGCAACTCAACAAATAGGACTATTGCCACTAACATTAATTTTTTACAACAAATACTTAGACTGAATGTAAAAATAAAAATACAATTTTGGAAAATGAATTCCTCGCAGCTATTTGTTCTTCAGACTAAACACATAAATCATAATGCAACATTCCTATCTTTCACATCAATTAGAAGTGAATATTGTTTTAGTCCATACTTTTGTGACCAGGGAGATATTATTGTTTAAAAGCAACTGTCTAAATTAATAACTTAACTTTATTTTACTTCAACTACTGTTATTAGTTGATTGAAGGATTTTTGGCTTATAGTTTTTTTTTTATTAATTTATAAGCATCAACATCAACGAATCTTGATCTTGATGTGTGTTGTGTTTATGTATATTAAAAGGCGATTACAATTTAAAATCAGTCTAAAAGGTTACATGATTTTTTACCTAAAAAATAAATATTTTTATAACTACAATCACAGCCAAATACCATAAAATGTTTCACTAGCAATTTTCATTATCTATTAGGTTTTCTACCAAAATATCACTTCTTATAATTTACAGAACATCTACAAAGCAATACCCATAAACTATACAACCGTTTTTAGTTCTACAGCATTACAATAGATTATATACAAATCATTTACAAAGAAATACTATATTGTTATAAAATACAAGGTTACAGTAGACCCTCTCTTAATCGACCTAGGATTAACCACCTCTGCCCGGACTGAAATAAAATGATCAGTTTATCTGCTCTGAATTTTAAAACTGGTCGGTTTGATCCATCCTTTATAGGAATCTAGGGACTTCCGTTACCATACTTATCACAGCAATATAAATAGAAACATGACTGGATAAAAGTAAATTTTAAAGTGTGATTGTACATGATTAATCCATTTTATTTCAATATGTGGCTGTATTAATAAATACTGAAATAATTCTCACCGTGATTGAAATTCAACTGTGTGTGTGTTTCCCTAGACAAAATATTCTCTATTCAAAAGTGAATAGAAGGGAGAGATTGTCTTATCCAGAGCATTTGATACTGATATGTAAATAGACAACCCTTTGCAGCTCTTTGACTCTTTTGCATACTACTTTTGCAGCTGAGTTTGGCATTTATATTACATCAATAGGCCATTTATTTACACAATATCCAATTGTGAGTTACGTGCATATTTTAACCTAAATATGAGTGAAGGATGAGTGTTGAATTAAGTGTGATGTATATTTGTTACTGAATAAAACCAGCTATTTTCTTAAAATCCTGATGATCAAGGGCAGCAGGGTTTGGTTTCAAACCGTCAGAAAGTCCATGTTTCAATAGTTGCTTGTTTTATCCTACCTCTTACGTTATCTGACCGAGGTGGTCCCCATGCCGGGAGGGTTAATTAAGAGAGGGTGTACTGTATTTTAGTGGTGTTACAAAGTCAACATTTGTGCCGCACTACTGACATGCACGGTGTTTGTTGAGGCTCCGCGTGAGAGTGAGAAGACTGTCGGAAGCAGAAGGCACAGTGGCGTGGCGCACATACATGGGCTGTAGAGCTAGATGCTGAGGGCTTTTTGACTCAAATTCACCCAAAAAGTCAACTACAAAAGAGAGACAAAGTGAGCATGCAGAGAGTTGTGTAACTACCACCAAGGAAGAATAGCCTATAGCAAAGTGCTCTATATAAACAAGCATCTGCGAAAGTTGCAAAAAAGTCTGAGGAAATAGCCCTTTCCCAAAAAAATGTGTATCTTTATTGCTTTAAAACATATTTTTAGGCTACATAAGAGCCGAAATTCCCTTTGAAAATATATTTACAAAAATATTAATTTATTTTTAATCTAGATTCTAAACAAACCACAGCCAAATTGAAACTTGGGTAAAAATGAAAGTAAATATAATAATCAGCTTAATAAATACCTTAAGTGCAAAAATAACTGTTTTTCATGGGAAATAAAAAGAGTACTGTGATTATTAAGAAAACTGCTTGGCACTTATCGATTCCAATTATATGAATCAAAACAGACAATCTTTCCAAACTGCTCTAATAGAACTTATTACAGTAGACTCTCGCTCATCCGGACTAATGTGGCAGACGTCCGGTCCGGATTACGAAAAATCCGGACTATCGAGAGTCGAGCAAATACACAGTACTGTATATAGCCGTTTTTTCAATTTAGTTCCAGGTCCACAGTAATGATAGCCGGGCATATGCACTTCCACCGGTAATAATTGTTTTGGCCGAATTTTGTTCCAGGTCCACAGTAATGATAGCCCAGACATATGCACTTCCACCGGTCATAATTTTTTCGGCCGAATTTTGTTCCAGGTCCACAGTAATGATAGCCCAGGCATATGCACTTCCACCGGTAATAATTTTTACTGTTGTGTTATCCGATTTTTTTTCATTATTCGAGGTAGTCTCGGACCCGTTTTGCTCGGATAATCGGACTTCTACTGTACTGTGTTGCTAAAAAAAATCACGATTGCCGATCCGGACTACCGGGAGTCCGAACAAGGCCGATCCGGATGAGCGAGAGTCTACTGTAATTATTTTTTTATTTAGTTATTAGTAGAAAGAAATCCTTATGTGTAACCAAATTCAATTCAAACTTAGCAAGCAACCCATTGTTAATATTTAGATGGCTGTAAGCTAGAACAAGAAATTAAACAGAACACACCAATTTGTTTACCTTTTAAAGAAAACTATGAACATGCATGGAATACTTAACTAAGCTGCGTAAAACAAAGGATCGCATAAGAGTAAATCAAAGTATTACATTTACAGTTTTTTAGGAGAACAGTAACAAAACAACAATACAAGAACAGTTTTCAAAACAAGACCAGTTGAATGGGTAGTAGAGTTTCAAATAAACTCTAAAAAAGTGTCATTTTGAGATGGCTTTAAAAATTTTTCTCCTGTTAGTTGGTCAAACCATTATGATTAACTGACCTAAAATTTGATTGGAATTTAATTTGATTTGGTCTTACACAATTATCTTAGTTGAAAAATTGGCAGTTGATTTGATACAATAAGTGATTTAAGTGTAAAACTTGATCGCTAAGGAGTAAATGACAGCATTGATTAGATTTCTATGTATTTACAATGCACTATAATCATTTAATAGTTATATGAGATTATTTGTTTTAATTAGTGATCCTTTCTTTTACTTTTAGAACACAAGCATTAAGAATACCTTATGCAAAGAGAACATGCTGTAACACACTACAAAAGTGAAAGAAGTAAGTTCTATACATCTATAAAGCTATAAAAAAATCAGAGAGTGTGACATTCCCACAATATTGGCAGCAGCCTTATATGAGAGGAAGCTATGCCATTGTCAAGGAGTTGTACTAGAAATATTAAGAGGTTTCTATTGAAGTTAGTTAATACTATTTTATATTCATTATTAGAGATGTGTCAATTCTCGATACCACTAATACTTGGCCGCTGGTATCGGTATCGAGAATCAATCGTCAAAAGTCGATAACGATAACGTTTCTATACTGTGTTTCGAATTATGTGTTTCGAATGCTGATGATGATGAATAAACGGCCGCAGGAGATGTTCATGATTATCCGCAACCGACGGACCCGAAAGACAGTGATGATAATTGCGTAATTGTAGAAGATATTTTGGATCTTGCAGTGATCCCAGAAGATGATATCTCCATGTCCGCTGGCAATAATCACGATATTACCTCGAGTTTGGCTTGACTGAAAATGTCAGGCTAGCACACCTCTATAATATCATTTTATATATTTATTTTTGTTGTTAGATCATCATTTATCTTTAATATGGTAGTTTTTTAATGTGTTTAGAAGGGTTTAAACTTAAATTGACTAGTTAGCTAGATAACTGATAATTACTTGACACCATGACTAGTTTGATCATTTTTCAGGCTCTACCTTGATAGGTAGTCCCACTTTCTATAGTGATAAAAAAAACCAGCTATTCGATGGACAAGAAAAAATATCTCTAATTCCTAAGCCAATGAACATTATAAAAAAACGTTATATAAAAATAAATAAATACTATAAAATATACTCACATGTATCATCTTCATCAAATAAGGACCAGGCAATTATAACTCCCGATATTAAACCAAAAACCTGCAAATAAATAATAGGAATCATAATCAACAATTATTAATTTTATAAACCATGATACAAATACTTTTTCCCACCTACAAAAGGTGCAATATTACCTTAAAAGAAATACATAGATACAAATACAAGTAAAAATATTTTAAGACCAAAGAAAGACCTTTAGACCACTAATTCTGCTAACGTAAAAATTAATTTACTGTGCAATTTTCCTATTTTTCTGGCATAAAACAGTTTAATTTATGAATTATAATTATGTTTGCAATGGTAGTTTGGTAAATAAATGCATTAAATAGTTTATTTAATACCTACCATTAGGAAGGATTCAGTTACTTTTTATATAAAATTACCAATTGTTCACTATAGAGATGGTAAAAACCAGAAATATTTCATATCAAAACCCCAAAAAAATAGAACCAAAACTTTACAAAATCAAAACAAAAATTATGAAGACCACTTTTTTTAGGCTGGTTTATCTTACATAAAATAAATCCTGTATCTCCAAATAAAGTAGATATCTCAAAGTTGTCTACAATTGGTATTAGTTCCGGAATCACTACTTAAACAATTTGCTTTAGCCAATTTAATATTTATATTTGTTTATATTAAAATTCAATTTAGTCTACAGCATGTAGTGATAGCTAACGAGATAAAATACAAATTAATTGTGAGTGACAAAGACAGCAGATATTGAAAGTCCAAGCTGTTTATGTCAATAACTGCATAGTATTTTTTTATATCAACATATCCCACAGAAATAAAACACTTTGCTCTAGATTACTCTTCCTACAGGGTGTCTACTACATTCTGGATAAAAAATTCATGGACAATTCCCGTACATTTAAGGGCACTTTGGCGTAACCTTTGTCGGTGTCATTAGGCCTACCGAATAATTTTCCTGATTGGTCAAACTGTATTAATCTTGTTATTAACTGTAGTTGTACCAGAGAGAAGAGTAAATAATAATAGATAGCCTAAGAGTAAAAAAAATTCCAAAATAGAAATTTATTGACAGTAAACAAGCATAGGCCTACCTATACTTTAGGTAAAACTTTTATAGTGTAACAGAGAAACGCAATCTCTTTAATGCATATTGTTGCTCAGTTCTTAGTACAAAATCAAGGTATGGTAAGCGGCTACCAATAAGCAATAAGCACAGAGTAAGATTATTGTATTTTCATTTGCAAAGTTAATATCGACACATAGCAATCATTAGTTGTTTATCTAGGCTCAATTACACTTTCTTAATATATTTTACAGCTCTTTCAAGAATCAAAATACCCAGGCCTAGGCCTAATTATTTAGGAGGGCCTAAATAAACTGGGTAACAAACAATGAGGTTATAATAGCAGCAAAGTCACTATCATCATTCTAGTTCTTAAGATTTAGATTGCTTAAAGCATACAACTCAATAAATAAATATATGGGAAACAAAAAACATTTAAACCTGAATAGCCAACAATATAAGACAAAGATACAGAAAATGCAATGACATAATTTGAAACCAAGAAGGCCTATATAGTGATAAAACATTCATGCAAATAACAATGCTTGTAGTTTTGTCAATTGAAAGATAAAACATCCATAAAAAAGGGGTTAACTTACAAAATAAGACTGTAGATTATTTACATGTTTAATATGAAACCATAAACAGTTTTATGGCACTAGGCAATGGCGAATCTTCAAGCCAAGTACAAGTAAGAAGTGAAATTTAACAGCCATTATAAAGCTATTATTTTCACGATAAAATAGGTTTGGGATCTCATAATAATTCCTCATAATATAATCTCATAATAAGCCCTAGTAATAAAAACAGAAGTTGTAAAGGAATAAAAGTGATACAACTTTTATGAGCTAGCTAACTGAGTCAACAGTTCTTGGAAGTACTTGACTTGACACTTGATTGTCGTGATAAAATATTAATGGGTTTGAGATTGTTAATGGGATTTTTATTGCATAATTACTCTAGTAATAAATTATGAAAATGTAAACAAACATCTGATAAACCTTTTATGTGCTCCTAACCAACTAGCGATCAATAAAATTATGACCCATTAAAAATTTAAGGACATAGTCTGGCATTTAAGGACAATTCCCGTACATTTCATGGCCAGTAAAAAATTAAGTACAATTCCCGGTTTTCCCGGTTTGGTAGACACCCTGTTCCTAATACACATAATCAGTAATCACACATTAAATCAAACACAACACAGACAAAACATAACCCTTTGCGCTCAGTTGGTCAGTCGTACTCGACAACTAACAGTGGTGAATTGTATCATAAAAGTTAACAGCAGTATATGACAGTATCTCCAAACCCCACATGGCAAGTACATGGCCCTCCTTTCTTCCTTCCTCCTTGGTACTATTGTAGTTTTAAATTTGCTCCCTAGGTGTAACCACGAAGCAAAGATTACTAAAGGGAACTTTATCTGAGCTTCTCAAGCATAATACTGTTACTACTGTAGTATACCTTCAACCAACTGATATGCAAAAATTGACTTATTTTGTAAGCGTCAAAGCATTAAAATCTAACAGATTATTACGGACATTTTCTATCACAATTAGTAAAAAACTCAATTTTCACAACTTTTTGGTTCATGGAATCTTAACCCTACTGTACTATTTTGAGAATGATTTTTCGGCTCAGTTTGTGTACTTTTCTTGTAATGATTTGATAACTTTTCACCTGGCGCTAAAACATCACCAGCGCTGATCCTAAAACATTGTTAAAACTTGGTTTTTACTAATCGTGATGGAAAAAGACTGCAATAATCTGTTTGACACTCAAGATACGCCCAGTCTACTAACCGATGTGAGGAGATGTAGGATGGCTTGGCCGGCCTCCAGGTGATCGTAACGCAACAGACAGTCTGTGACAAAGTCTGGCCGCAGCGGTCGCCACGGCTCCCCCTCCAGTGATTGGTTGGCCAGGAACACAGGCTTACAGCCTGGACCACCCGTCTCCCACCAACTGACACTGCCCGTGCCTAGACTCAGCAGATCACTGTCCTGCAGATACAGATCATACATTTACTCACTACTCAGAAAACATCACAATGTATGGAAACTGGGAAGATAAAGGATGGTAACAATAACTTATATGGAAATACACAAAAATGATTGACAGATGCTACATTTTAATTTAGCTTTTTCAATTTGGGATCAATGAAATTATAAAATAAAATGGTTTTAGGGTTTCTGTGTTGAATTTAATATTGAAAGAAAAAGTGTATGTGTCTCTGTGTTCAAATCTAGTGTTGGTAGACTATTTAATCGGTTCTGGAGTAAGGCCTTGGTGGACTAGGGATCTATATATGAGTCTATTATAAGGGTAATGATATGACAAAACCACTAAGCCATGATTTTAAGCTCTTAAGTTTTTCAGGTAGCTGGCTAAAGGACTTTTGTTTGAGATAGGTATTGGTTGAGATTGGACGTAAAAACATGTTTCTTCCCAACTCAAACCTTACGTGGTTGAAAGTGAAAGTACGGTAATTACTTTCATTGACACAAAAATATTCTAATTATTTGGTATGTTTTTGTAATTCTTCTCGCAGGACAAACTCTTCATCATTTAGGTAAGTCTACCAACTTGAATCTTTCTTGGTTTTATGTCCGTTACAGTAAAATAATCTGATTAGTGTGTATAGTGCAATGTTTTTAAGTCAAATATAAAAATTATCACATTAGGTTAAAAAAAACACATAAAATCAAATAAATTAACTAATCTTACTAATTATCCAATTTATTACCTTATCCAGTCCGAACAGATTCAAATAGAAACAGACAACGAAAATATTCCAACTGCACCAAAATACACACCAAACTGAATACTAAAACAAAGTTAAGAAAGGAAAATTAAAATTGCATACCAAATAAAATAAGGGTAACATAATAAAATAAACAATAGCTGGTCTTGTGAACAGTAAATAAACTAAACATACATAAACATTAATAAAAACAGAAGGAGTGTTGAAAGACAATTTCAAATTCTATTATATAACGGTAGCCTAATTTATAACCCCAAAACTGACTACTAGGCAATAACACTATTGTGACCATTGCTGGTTAATACAAATGATTTTTACTGTGGGTATACGAGATTCAGTTAACTTTTGCATAAAAAGAAAAACGTATGCATAAAACAACATACGGTATATCACTGCACATTAAGATTTTCTATTAAAACTGTGTCACAATATAAACTAGACAGTATCTGGGGCACAACTTGTATAATACTGCTTGTTTATTTAAGTCTACCTTGTTCAACCCTTTGGATCTCGTCCTTTTTATACAATAACTATGTAGCCTACTTTTTGCAATACAATTGTATTACAAATTAAATCAACCAAAACTTACCACGATAATGTATTTAGGACGATATTGATAAACCCCAAAAAACCCAAAAATTGTAAATATTATTTGGAAAAAGTTTGAGAAAATTGGTCCCCACATGTACCCAAGGAAGTCGAAAACCTGACGGCAAGCTGTTAGAATCTGCAACAGAACAGTTTTTTTCCATTACAAAATACCATTACAAGAAAATATTAAGAAAACATTGATTTTAAGAGTAATTTATTTTGCTGCTACAGGGCAGGTAATAACGCACATTTTTAATTGAAATGTTAATATACCATACTAGCAAAGTTTGAAATAGCCTAAACAAATTTTCCTAGTGTTATCAAAATATATCCCTAAACAAGCAAACTACAAGAATTTATTTATTTCCCCTAAGAATAAAATAAGAATTCAAAATTTAGAATATTTTTGGAATTATTTCTGATACCATTAGGTGACAACAACAATTGCTTCAATTTACACTCACAAAATTTCTTAATAGCTTTTTAATAGTAAAGTAGGGTTTTATAATAGTGTGAGGAAGCTGGTTAGGCAGCCCACAAGTGGGCTATATATTTTCAATAATGGGTGTATTTTCTATTTTTAGACACCTAGTAGGGCCTACTCACTTTATCTACTTTGAACGTTTCAACCAATTAGTTGACTGGGTAGGCCTAAGGTGATAAATTGAAATATTCAGTAGTCAGCTTTCCCAAGACTTTAAATACCTTGCTAAACGTTAGATTTTATTTTTTTATTATTTTATTTTAATTTTTTATACAAATGGATAGTTTGTTTTAAAATCTGAATGGAGGAAGGTAAACTAGTACAGTCATATATATTATTGAAGGGAATTTATACGGTAAATATACAAAAAGATGGTAAGTGGTGATCGATTTCGATTCCAATCAGAATCGATCACCACTTACCATCTTTTTTGTATATTTACCGTCTTGTGAGTAACAGTATAAGCGTAAATATATGTTTTAAGTGTTATAAGACATTTCTTTTATTTACTTTCCGTAAATTTAAAAACACATACCGGTACAATGCTGATCAAAAAGTTATACGCTAAATAAAAGTTAGAAAGTTGACAGTTTTACTAATCATGAGTAAGACCTGGTCTTGGAACAAAATAAGCTGACTTTACTTACCAACTGGACCACACAGTTTGTCAGGAAAAAGGTCCGAAGACTACAAATTCCCATGTCATAAATAATAACAACCAACTCCTTCAGCTTCTAATGTCATTATGACATTACAAGGATCAGCGGAAATTTGCTCATGGTAGGCCTAATCCTGGAACACACAAAGAAAGACATTAGTATAGTTCGGCCGCTTAGAAAACGACCTGCGCACTAATGCTAAACCAATGCTGGAGGAGGTCGCTTTCTAAGCGGCCGAACTATAGGTACTTAATTTTACAAACCAAATCAAGTTAAAATGTTCTAAAAGTTTTTTATTTTGTTAAATATATAATTTGAAATGAAAAAAATTGAAATCAACTGAAATACAACCTTTATTGTTAAGGGTTTGGCCAGCATTACCCTAAACACAACTTTCAAGATTGGCTACTTTGATTTCAACAAATCACTGAAACACACTCCTTTCTTTTCCTTTTCTCGCCCAGTGAGCAGGATTATTGTTTTGGACGTATGGATAAAAATCCCATGTGTCTGTGATGTGGAACTGTTACTATTAACTTATTCGCTATTATTCGGGATTTGAATCAGTGTGGTAAAGTTTTTTTTAAGCTTGGATCTTAACTAAGATACTTCTAGCCTAAACAACCCATATACCGTGACTACAGCAAATTTTGTGATACTTGTTTTTTCTCGCCAATAACAATTATATTGCTGTTCATAGACGTCTGAGCATCAAACAAGAAGTAAATTCAACTTTTGGAGTTTATTTTAAATGTCTTTGATGCCAAGTCGTCTGGTTCATTTAAGTTATCAGTTTGAATGTTGACGTTTCTTGAAACAGTCGTTTTTTTAAGGTTCTTAATGACTCAAACTATGAAAGGGGTAAATGGAATAGCCTAGGCTAAGTTTTTGTTTTTATATTTTTATATTACATAGCCTAGACAATAAGATTTAGAATTAATATATGTGACTGTTTTGTTAGGCCTATAATCCTATTTTAAGCCCGATATTGAAATTATATTTTTAAAAACTAAGTACATCACGGAGATTAGCCATGTAAGATTACTATTTTCTAAATACCGTGACTGGATCACAGTGTTTACCTATAGTCTTTACACAGAGGATATGGTAACCGGACCTGGATTAGGCGTCCAGCAGTGACGTCACTGGGTTGTGGGGACCCGGAACGCCATTACCACAACAATTTGATGTACAGCCATCGGTGATGGTGGTGTAGTGGATAGAGTGCTTGGCTGATATGCAAGAGATCCGTGGTTCGAATCCCATCGACTAGGCCTCTATTTTAACTTTTTGTCAAAGATTTCGCTTTGAATGCCACTTCCTCTTAACCATAGGCCTAAGTACATCTTTTGTAAGAATTTTCATCATTTGTAATTTTATTTTAAGAACAGAATTTAACCTTCATTCGATTGTTTCATTATCAGCAAGTTTTGTTGGTTAACTTAGGTTAGGTTATGACAGTAACTGCCGGACGCTTAATCCACGTCCAGTTACCGGACACGTATCATCTACGTGTTTTTTAACCCTCCCAGTGTTACTTGACGAAAATTTGGCAAGCACCACACTTTGTATAGTGTTACTTGCCGATTTTTCGACAAGCAGACATCGTTTACGGCGAAGGCTCTATAACTGACTGAATCGGATTGAACTGGATCGAGTTAGGTATCGTTCTTTCCGTAATATTCTAAGCTTTCTGCAGAGGTCTGTCTCTAAGCGCTATTCATTTTAGTTCCGAAAATATTGTAGCAGACAGCTGACGTGCGTGTATTTGTAAACAGCTAGGTTCCCCCGGACCGATGACTGATGTGTTTTATTACGTTTATCATTGTTTTAGTGTTAAAAATCAAAAGTAGTGATATACGTGGTGCATTATAAGAAGATTTAAGTGGTTTTGAAGTGCTGGTTGATGATCCTGAAGAAGTAGGTAGTGATATTGATGTAAATTATCAGCCAGATTCCTAGCTATGGTTAGGCTATGCATTCTTAGCTAAACGCTATGTACTGAAATCAGTTTTTTGCCCATAACTTATTTATTTGCAAATATACTTCCTTATATTATTATATATTTGTAATCCTCATAAAATTTAGAACAAAGTGGCTATTTTCAAATATTTATAGGCCTATAATTTATACAATTTCATTGAGCGCGAACTTATTTTTTTTTTGAAAATTTTTGAAATTATATTTTTTTTACCTAAAAATTTTTTTTTTTGAAAAAATGTTCCTTATGTTTTATATATAATATTGAAGCCCATGATTTTCCAAACAAAATGGTATATAGAACATTAGAATTAACATCGTTTTAAGCTTCTCAGATCCGTTTTAATAAAACCTAGCAAATGCGCCAAAAATAGGTGGACATTAAGGCCTAAACTATGGACACTTGGAGGGTTAAGGCAGCAAAAAATAATATTTTATAAAATAAGAGTTTAGGCCTAATTAGCCTAATTTCTAATGGTGAAACCGACCTAGCCTATAGGCCTGAGCCTATGGTAACAGGCCCTAGCATCTAAGTCTAAAAACATCTTTTGTAGTCCTATGGGTAAGATCCAGGTAATTTAACACTCATGGCTACTTCAGTAAATTCACAGCAATGTGTACCTTATCAAAGAAATGGTAATAAATTTGAACTTCTAGGCCTAAGCTTAAGTTACTCTGAAGGTCCATTAAAAAATCACCTGTCCTCAGTCTAGTTTTAAAACTCCTAACACAGGCGTGTAAAAGTTTTAGTAAAGGCTATTAATAATATTTAAATAAAAGGTAACTTAGTAAAATGAAATAGGCTAATAATCATGCTAAGTTATTTAGGCGTGACGTGCATAGGCTATGCCAGGCCTTCCTTGGTTCTAAGTAAGTACTCAATACTCACTTATTCAATTAATTCATCCATCTGAGAAAAATACCAGGTAAAAACACATAGTCTAATTTACAAATTCCACTCTTTGTTATTGCTGGAAAGTACGTGTGTGAACAACTACATTATGAATTAATTATTTTTTGTTTGTTACTATTTTACTATGCTACAATATTCTTTATTTACTTGTTGCCAATAGGAATTAGGAAATGAAATAACGGGGGGCAGTGGCAGGCCCGGGCAGGGGTTCGCGGCTCGCTCGATCGAATTGGCTCAATTCGATTTCGATTGTCGCTTCTTTTCTTTCTGTTTTAGCGAATTTCCCATATAGGGAATAAGCTATTACCGTAGTACTCATGGTAAGACCTGGACGTGGGACCGATTTTTTTTTCGTTTTGAGGTCCCTAGAGGCCAAAAACACCATCCGTTCAAATTCATATATATATATACATATATATTTATATATATATTTATATATATATATATATGTGTCCGTTAGCACGATAACTCGAGCAAAAATGATCCGATTTTGATGAAATTTGGTACAAACGTGTAAACCTACGTTTATTCGAACGAGTTCGCGATCCAGCATGATCGGACCATGGGAACGGGGGTTTACGGGGGGTTTTATGGGGTAAAAATAGGTTTTTCCCATTTTTGACCCAAAAAACATAAAATTTAGCAATTTATTTCCAAACCATTTTGTAGAGCTTAAAAAAACAAATAATTTAGTATATTGAAGCGTTATTATGCGCCTAATGGTTACAGAGAAAATTCCAAAAAATTGTAAATTTAAAATTCCCATGTTATTCTGATGGAGAATAAGTAAACTGTTGTAGTTAGCTTGTTTATGAACATATTTTGATCAAATTTGGAAAATGTTTTTATTTCTTACTAACTATTAACATTTACAAAAAAAAAACAGTTTTACCCTCCCTGATGCAGCAAACCTAAGTACTTGTTAAACTAATTCTATTTAAATTTGGAATAAATGTTATATTTTTAAGTAGACATTTCAGTGTAAATCCAATCAGTCAAATGGAAATTCGCTTAGTCTGCAGGTTTGCTGCGGCGGGGGTATTTTATCCAATACAATGATCCATTCCATTCAATACCATTTCCTTCCCAAATCCCATAATATTGTATTCCCTATTCATTTTTGAACATTCGCAATTATAAATTATGCCATTTTATCCTATTTGTATGGGTCGAGTTCCCGCAAGGCTCATGGGACGCTTCATGACGTCATAGTGATGACACGTTTCTCATAATTCCATCTTTCAACGATTACTTCAGATCTTCTGCACTGTTTGTCACAGTGTCGTGGGTCGCTCGTAAGGGGTCCATTAATTGCATGAAAGGCGCGATGACGTCTACTCCTTTGATTTCAGAGGAACGATTTCATGACGTTCACACTTTTATATTTTAACCATTTATATTCATTGTCCAATTTAGTGGATCTGGTTAGTGGTTTTGGAACTCGAACTTCGGATACGAATACGCCACGGCCACCTTTAACACCAGGCCGCGGCCTGGTAGAATTGGCAACGTCGCAAGTAGGGTTTTTTAGTGTCAGACATCCCACAAGATAACATGGCAGACAGGTGACATCAGCTCATTAATTTGCACTTTAGTTATTTAAATTTAAATTAATGATCATAAATTTATTAAAATTTTGAATATAAAACATACAGAATTGAAAACCAAAACGATATTAATTAAAAATCTATATCTGTACATTTTTAGCGGAATCAATATTTTCATAGTCCAGTAACCAAGCACTCAAAATACGGGTTCTCTAGTAACACTGTTCATGTTATCTGAAAAGGCAATAATGCTAATATTGTCCAGATTAGAATAATCAGTTTGATAGAATTAACTTTGACAGTTGCAGAAGCAGACGACAACTACGACACTGTCTTAAGACAGTGCCGATAATCTGTGGTAATCTTGGAAAGCTGAAACTGGAATATGGGAAACGTGCCATCAATATGACGTCACGGAGCGTCCCGTGAGCCTTGCAAGAACCGGACCCAGTGGAGTAGACTTTCTCTTTCTGTTACTGTCTGTGAGTCTGTCTCTCTCACTCTCTATCCTCTCTGTACTCCTCCCTGTCGCACGATTTGTTTTTTTTTTCAGGATTAATTTTGCCAACAGTGTCATTTAGAGCTTCTGATCGACTATTGAAGGTTTATTAATCGAAAAATTATTTCTGTTCATTAAATAAAATTATAAATGCCTAAGATTCAATTTTATATTTTTTTAATAATGAAATTAAACTGTCATAACCTAACCAAACTAACCAGACTTGCTGATAATGAAAAATCGAATGAAGGTTTAATCGAAAGAATAGTTCTGTTTATAAAATAAAACTATAAATTGCTCAAATTCAATTTTGTTTTGATTATCAAATTAAAAGGTCATAACCTAACCAAACCAACCAAACTTGCTGATAATGAAAAAATCCTATACAAAAAGTTCGAACGCGGCCCTACCGTTTGTCAGTCCAGGGGCCCATTTCATAATAAAGTACAAATTAATATTATTAGTAAATCAGCTGATCGCCCAATGCAAATCTTATGGAAATTACAAGTTACAAGTTGTAACTTGTACCTTGTAGTTTATTATGAAATGGGCCCCTGTACTCTTACCACTTTGCCTTTGCCACCGAGGCCGGTGACCTGTTTCGTTCCGGTAATGGTGTTTCCTCAGCCAATCAGAAGCCTCAAAATTACGCTGTTGGCAAGATAAATCCTGAAATAAAAATTCAGCCTCCCGCACTCACCTCACCACTCAACTCGAAACTCGAACTCTTGAATCTTGAATCTTGAATCTAACCCACCAGTTACCAGCACCCACCAGCGCCAGCGCATAGTCACCTATCAGTCAAGTCACCACTCTCGCACTCTCTCACTCTCTCTCCTTCTGTTTCTGTATTCTAGTATTCTGATTCTCACTCAGCTCTTGCTCTGTCTCTGTCTGTCTATGCGTTTTTGTGTACTACTACTGCAGTAAGTGAGAGGCGATACCCAATATCGGGGTAGTTGGAATAGTGAAAATCCCTTAGATAAATAATTTGACCGATAACAATATCAAATACGCCTTTCCCAAAATGGTTTGTATGACTATAATAATATGTAATGTACATTTTAAGCTACTCAAGGGACTGTAAGTTTTAGTCAGCCAAGTCTAACCTAATTTTACAGTAATCAATTTTTTGGGGGAAATGTCCAATCAGATAAACGAAAGATAAATAGGCTTAGCCTAACTTAGTTATGCCCCTTAGTAATTTCGCAAGCTAGGCCTAGACTTGATTGAAATTATAAAGTATGTCTCATTAATTTCAGCCATAGGTCTAGGCTCTTAAGAGTTAGATCCTTCACAGACTAGGGTCAAGATACATTTTTGGGGGCTGCACTTTACTTTATGTCATACACTCATTCAAATGAAAATATCGATTATTCAATTGTTTCATCCGATACATCGTTTGGCTAGTTAGGTTAGGTTAGGCTTTGAAGATAGTGTAACGTGCCTATTTTGAGGGGGGGGGGAATAAAACTAGCCTTTTTTATTTATAGCTTAACCCTAGGCTACAAGTCCTAACTAGGCCTAAGGTTATAGGTTAGAAAGCTACCCTTAGTTTTAACATCACTAGGTATGGTAGGTATCACTGTTGTGGTTGGTAATAACCAAGTGCAGAACGAGAGTTATTAATTCTGTAGCAAAATATAAACCTTATACAGAGTTTTATCTAGCTTATTGACTCACCAGCAATGTGTTTCGCAAGCTAGGGCATAAACCGGCTTAAGACTTTGACGACACTCTCTACATTTGGTAAACCCGCAGATCGTGGCATTAGCCCAATAATCCGTCTCAAAGACGTGAAGGAGATGTAGTGTGAGCAATATAAACCGACAACTCGTGTGAAACAAACCCAACATAACCACACACAACAAGCTCAAGTGTCTGACTATTACCCGAATTCCTCTCCCAAGGATGGCTCTGGTTAAAAATATTGTAAATTAAGACTCGTCGTTTAATTATTCATTGAGGCCTTTTTTTCAGTCCGAGCAACAGATGGATTGTGCGCTAGACTTGATGAGACGACTTCCTCCTCAACAAATTGAGAAAAACCTCAGCGATTTGATAGACTTGGTTCCAAATCTCTGTGAAGATCTTTTATCTTCAGTTGATCAACCCCTGAAAATTGCTAGAGACAAAGAATCTGGCAAAGATTACTTGCTGTGTGATTACAACAGAGATGGAGATTCGTACAGGTATTTACTGTTTCAAAAATATTTCTCTTTGTTATGTTTGTATTTCCCTCCTCCTTCCCCTTCCGGTTTCAAATGTTATTTTGTGCTGATTACTAGGTATTTTTAAGTAAAAAAATTGATAGCCACAAAAACAGTCCGATTTAACCCAATGGCATGTGCGATTTTTATATCTTCATTTCTTTGCCAATATTTTTTTAGATTAGGCTTTGGCCTATTTCTTAGAATGTCTTGTTAGGGCTTATTGATTTTAACACAATACATCAATATTAAACCAAAATATTAAAAAAAAAGCATAACAGGTTTTGTGTGAATCTCTAATCAACTCACTAATGCTCTACTTTCAACTGAACACCGTTTGTTTTAAGCCTCCCCCCCCACTTGCTATGCCACAAATTATTAAGAATTGCCTACATAATGAGAATCGAACCCCACACGTAGAAACACTTTATTATTGTAAATGGTGGAGTGTTACCTCTTGCATTTAAAATGTTTAAATGGCAATTTATCTGTTTACATTGCTGTACCATAACAAGTTCAATGACATTTGGAAAGCTATAAAGGAAACCCATTAACCCTCCGAGCGTCACTCGTCGAAAAATCGACGCACCACACACTTTCTGTAGTGTCACGCGTCGATTTTTCGACGCACAAACATCGTTTACGGCGAAGGCTCTATGACTGACTGAATCGGATTGAACTGGATCGAGTTTGGTATCGTTCTTTTCGTTATATTCTAAGCTTTCTCCAGAGGTCTGTCTCTAAGCGCTTTATGTTCTCCGAGCCGATCGTAATTGTAGCAGACAGCTGACGTGCGTATTTGTAAACAGCTAGGTTACCCTCGGACCGATGACTGATGTGTTTTATTACGTTTATCATTGTTTTAGTGTTAAAAATCAAAAGTAGTGATATACGTGGTGCATTATAAGAAGATTAAAAGTGGTTTTGAAGTGCTGGTTGATGATCCTGAA